AAGCCAACGTTACAGTTGAAGATGAGATAGAGACCCGTAACACGAAGCTACCTAGTGCCTTGCCAACACATCTGCTCTGGGGAATGTTTTTCATTTTGATCAGAAGCAGCTAACTTGGACTTGTTAACGTCTACTGACTCTCACACCAGGGAAGGTAAATCAGGACTGGAACTTGGATATTTGCATACCCAGTCCGGATTCTTATCTCCATTTCACAACGTACATTGCCAAGCTCTTCTAAAACTGCTTCTTGCCTGTGCTTTTGAGCAGAATGATAGATGTGTTCCAAATGTGAGATCACAGTTTGACCTTTAAGTTTCATACATGTTGTGTGATTTCATTATCCTTTTTTCCTTGTGATGCTCAACAAAGATTTCAGAAAAAAAGTTTCTCACTGAGGAAATGCCTTGTAAGGACTAGAAGGGGAGACTGGGAGCCCTGGATTTTGCCTGATGAATTTCTATGTGACCATAGCTTATCCACCCAAGGAACTGGTGTAATGTTGTTCCTGTGGGATTAAGACGAAGCTTTGGGAATGTTAGAAATGCTAGTTTGGGATCTTCAAAAGCATAAAAGAGGTGATGAAAACCAAAGAGGATAGGGGTGTTTGAAGTGGGAACGTAGAAAAATAAAGTGAGAGGGGAACGCTTTTGGGAGGGTCCTATTACAAAAGTTTGTGCCCGGTATCCACCATGACATTTCTGGTTCCTATTCTGTAATTCAAACCAGCCGTTTCTTACAGAAATAGACAATCACTGGATGCCCACCAGGCACCGAGGCTTGACTGCAGATAATTAAGATCTGATGAATGAGCTGCATCTCGGGCTGGGCTCGAACAATGGCTTGCCAGGAGCTCTGCCATCCCACGGGGAAGGCCCTGATGCTGTCCAGCTCTTCCACTATCGCTCTGGCAGAGATCCACACGTGGTCCCTGCTCTGCCCAAGAGCATGTAGCCACTGGTGGTTTGTGCAACAGCAGCTAAATGAGTATGTTGGGTGATCAGAGAGCAGGCTGATGGGGCTGGGTGCGTCGGCAGTTGGTGGTAGCGGATCAGCCAGAACCATAAACCTCATCTCATGCTGTGCCCTCCCCGAGTGCTCAGCTGGGCCCTCTGATGGCTGCTGGAGCTCAGCCAGGTCTGTTTGGAGCTGATGGCAGCTAGAGGTTGAAGTTCTGAGCTGCCCATCAGGGCCGGGTGCCCGGGGAGCCGGGGGTGGCAGTGCTCAGCCGGGCATGGGGACTGCCCAGCATGCCCTCGGGAAGGGCCCGGCTACCATCGGTTCTGGCTCAGTGGGAAGGAGCCCTCTTGGGCTGGAGGGGCTGCCTTGTGCGTAGCAGAGGCTAACAAACTTCGTGAGGCTTGGAACTCCTTCAGACCGCATGAATGAGTTTGCCAGAAGGCGTGGATTATTCTTTCTCCCCTTGTGCATTGGTTTAATTAGAGATCCAGGGAACCGCCTGACTTTCCCTAAAAGTCCTGCCAGCTACCTCAGCAGGTAACCTGCTCTGCACCAGGACTAGCAAAACTGCAGGCTGTTTATTACTGTTTGTGTTGACAAACACAAAATAGCTTCCAAAATTACCATTTAGGATTGAGTCCTGCTTTGGTCAATCATAAAAACTTTGCAGTGCTTTTACAATACAGATGCCTATCTTGGCTTTGGTTGGGTTTTTTTTGATGTATTCTGTGTTCTTACTGTGCTGACTTGAAACTCTATGATTCTAAAGAATTGTAAAATAAGTAGAGAGGAGCAGCACAAAAAAAAATAGTCTATTTTTCTTATGTAGCACCAATCTGTGCCAGCCTGATTTCTAAACAGGAACTTTAAATAGAAACGCATGTTTTGCTTTGATTGCTTTCTTTTTTTCTGGGATCTTTCAAAGTTATCCCAAAATAGTTTGTGTACAGTAGTTTGATGAAAGCCTCTTAGCAGTAGTCCACCATGCTTTGAATTCCTTGAGATTTACCCAGCCTTCTTCATCACCCTCAATAAATGCTGAATCACTGTAGGACATCTAACAATATTTAATGCATTCACTGCCTTCAGTTCAGGTGCTGTGATTTTGGGATGATCTCTGTGTACTTTCTTTTCCTATGCAGCAACATAATTTTAGACTTACTGATTTAAGAACAACAGGAGATGGACTCCTATTTTTCTTGTGTTGATATGAACCAGGATGTCCTATTGAAGTACTTGGAGATGCAGTGCTCTGAAAGTACTATAGAATAATTTTCAGACCTGTGTGTATTTATTCCATATTTATTCCATTTATATTATGTATGTATTGCATATGTATCCATTTTCTGGTTATCTCTGCTTTGAAACAAACATTGGAGAGGTTGTACTGGATGAGAGCCTGGAGCCTTCCGATTCCCCAGGTTGGTTGTGCATTTTGTGGCCTATAAAGTGAACTGCAGTAGGTTAACTCTGCTTTCCTGTTGAAATAACAGGTGGAAATTTGCAGAATCTGAGCTAGGGATTGTGGAGGCCCTTTTGGTGTGTGCACTCATCATGAACTTGTGAGAACACAACATTCAGTTGATTTGATCTTGTATCTTTAATAACTTCCTGAAATAGGTGCAATATAGGCCATGCTAAAAAAAAAAAGAAAAGAAAGGCACTTTTTTCAGTGTATTTTCTATGTGCAGTGAGACACTACTAGTAAAGCCAGAGTTTAGCTTGGAGAAGAGTGCAGAGGTTTCAATTCAGCTGCTGTGTGAAGAGGGGTTGGACTCATCCTTATTAATGAAACCAAGACTCAGAGCTTTGAATTGACCCACTGTCTTGCAGAAAATCCACTATCCCTGGAGAACTGAGCAGCTTTTTACAGGGCTTGTGCTTTTCTGTTCATTCACAGTTTGTTTGTTAGATGTCATTTGCATGAGCAGTCAAACAGTGTTTCAATTCTGTTCCATCAACATTTTCAGGCCAAGTTTTGTGCTGGCATGCAACAGTGATACGGTTGCTCTGTTACTCAACTATTGTTAAAAGAGGCTTAGGTTAAATTCTGGAAGTTAATGAGAGAGCGGTGTGCACCAATTTGGATTATGCTTTATGAACTAATTAAATACTTATTTACATGCTGTGTTTACTGGCCTCTATACACAGGAGTTTTTCAGTACTCGTTTCATGTCTAGGTAATTTACAGTTTATTTCAGCCTCATATCCTTGATGCTTGTGCTCTCTTCCCACTCCACTATGAGGCATATTAATATCCGTGCCTCCCTTGACAACACACAAGGGTCTTTGTCCTGAGTGGAAGAATTTTTGTAAAGCAAAATTCATGTTTCTGTCTTGCCTCTTTATGATCTGTGTTCAATAATCATCCTTGAAGTAAAAGATTTTTTAAAATACAGGAATATAGATAGTCTTCTAAAGTCTTATTTAGACATGGAAATAAATAATCTAATTTCCAGAGGTATTGTTTACAAAGCGGATCTAAACAGATCAGCAGCTAATACACCACAATGGAAACAGAGTCCCCTGAAGCCTGTCAGAGTGACAGGCTCCTCGCCCACCATATTCCAGCCCAGGATCTGCTGGAACTGGTGGCAAGGCTGGATCCAGGGCATCCCACAGCATGTTCCTCAGGAGCCTGGGCAGATGCCCTGCAGGGTGTGAGTCTGCTCCTGGGGCCGTGGTTCAGCCACACTGTCTCCTAACATCAGCATAGGATGCTCAGGACATCTGGAAACTTGGACTTTTACCAGGCATGAAATTAGGCTCCTATATCCAAAACTACTGATAATATGAATTAAAATTCACTTTCAAATGTCAGTGAGGATTTTGTAGCAAAACCTACGCTCATATATTTAGTTCTAGTGATTTTTACAGAGATAAAAGTTGGCCCAATAAAGCTAGGGCTGATTGCAGAAACAAGACATTATTTACTGTTTCGAATGAAAGGTTTTCTTAAAGTTGCCTACTAGCTTGTAGTAATGAATCTATTTTTTAGGGCCAAATTAAATTTAGGTCCAGCCAGCAAAGCAGTCTAGTTTGGTGCAACCTTTACCAAGGTAAAGAGGTTTTAGGAAAGACGCTTGCCTTGCAGGGAATCTCATCTGCCTTTTCTAACTTGTAAAGCTAAACCCCTGCCATTTGGCTGAATCTCACGCCGTCTTCATCACCGAGTACCTAAATCAGCCTTTTTAACAGTTAATATTTGCCTAGCTTGCTTGTAGGACTGTTTCCTAAGTAATCTTTATACATTCCCATTTCATTCTCTACTCTAAATATTTACAGTTTTCTTTTCACTGTTCCTAGGGTGATTTCCCTCTGTGCATGTAGCTCTAGTATAAAAAAAAGAAGCCAGTTTTTAATTTGCTGGCATTTTGTGGCTTTTGTTCTGCTTGCAAAGTTTAACACTGATTGGTTTTGACACACAATAAAGCCAGCCCATGTGGCCAAGCACACTTTTTGAGGGAGGTATATCCTCTCTTCAGAGTGTGATGTGATGGCTCCCAGATGGAAGAGTTACAGGGTGCAGCTGAGCTGATCCAGCAAATGGCTCTCAGGAGAGAGGTTCTGTCCCTCTGCTCACTCATCCCCTTCCCCATGCATGGTCTTGCCCAGCAGAGAGCTATTGAGGATTTTGCTTGGATTGCTAATTCTGGCCTCCAGCGGGCACATGGAGCTGGGATGAGATGGGGAGGAGCTTGGGAATCTTCCTTCTTAGCAACAGTAACTGTTAGATCACCCCAACTGCACCATGATATGTTTAAATCCATTTAGGCTTGCACTTAAATAGCTGTTAATATGAAGTCTCTGGTGATGTGTTGACTTTTAAATGACTTCCTGAATTATGGCCTGTTGGGAGGCTACAACAGAGTTTAGAAAAGAAAACCTTCCCTTTTGCATTGGTGGAATTTTTGCTGTTTTAAACATGTTCAGAAAGGGATCTTTGACTTGATGACAGTATATAAAAGGTACTGCTGTATCACTACTTTCATAGCTACTTGTTGCTAGCACCATAATTAAAGTGCTGAACTCTTTTGCAGGTTAATGAAATTTATCATGATGAGTCGCTGGGTGCTCACATTAACGTTGTCTTGGTGAGGATAATCCTGCTGAGCTATGGCAAGGTAAGTAAAGGTTGATTTAAATGGAAGATATCAATATCTCTGAAGTTCATTCTTTTATGAACAGTGTAGTTACTGGTGACATATATTGGCTTTGTATTTAAATTCATACATTGTTCTTACCAGGCTATGAATATAAAAAACTTTTATGGTTACATATATTTATCATTTGAATTTCACATTTCAAATAATTTCAATTTCTTCTGGGTTTGCTCTGTGTCATTTTAAGTTGCTTCTTAGCTCTGGCAAGCTATCTTTTCAGATGTGTTTGGAATAATCCCTGAAAATGTAGTGAGCATTTTGGTTCCTAAAGAAAACACAAGGTCTTGTGGTAGAGCTGTATGTAAGTAACAATAAACACAAGCTCAGTTCTGCAAGATGCTGAGGGCTGCAGCCTTGTTCCAAGAACTCATTTAAACTTGTGCCTAACATTGGTGGGACTACACATGTGCTTAAAGTTAAGTGTGAGTTCTGTGGGGTAGGGGCCAGAAGTCAAGAGCTCTGCATAACAAACTGTAATTAAGAATAAAAAACATTTTTTCTCTTGCTGTTTCTATGGAAGGAGTTACTCTACAGGCAAAGCTTGGGTAAGGAGGAATGAAACACTAAATGGTTTTTAGAAGTATTGAGCTGATCAGTACCTGTGTCCTTTGGGTTTTTTTTCCAAATTAACATCAAATTCCATGGAAACACAAACAGGATATTTCCAGTATGTTGATAAACGCTTTGGTTAAGGACATGTGATTTTAGTGCTCTCTAACACAGCAGCATGCCCAGCTGCTCGAAGCAGAGGGTTAAAACCTAATGCCTCTTTCTGTGTCTGGAGCTGCTGGTGTTTGATATGCATGTAATAAACCTGGGTCCTGGAAAGCTCTGGGTATGCTCATGCAAGCTGCTGAAACGCTCTCAGGGAAGAGCCAGTGCAGATGGTGTCAGTGATGAAGCTCCACTGACATTCACCAGTTCATCCTGCTGGACGCCACCGAATATTTTCCTCCCTGGTGTGACTGATGCAACTCTGAGTTTCAGTCTGGACTCACTGCAGACCAGTTATCTGGATCTTGGATAAAGTATTTTGTTGCAGCTTCCCTATCTGAGATGTAAACATATGGATCCATCTCTGCTCTTCCTGCAGTGATGGAGATAATGATGTAATTACGTGTTTTGAATAAGCTTGATCAGATGTATGTCCTGAAGTAGAAGTTAAAAAAGGTCACATTTGCCATTTTGTGATCAGAATTCATGGAGTGTTAATGTTAAATTACAAAATAAGTGAAATATCCATGTGATTGCTCTAAGGACAGCAATTTGAAGGACTGTAGATTGACTGATTCTCCTAGAATTCTGGTATTGCAGGACTGGTAGAAGCCAGCAGAATGGGCACATGGGACAGTCAGTTCTTTGCTGTCCTTATTTCACAAGTATTTCCTAATTATTATGCATGTCCATCTTTAGCTCTGTAGATCTGCACCAGTCTGAACTCTGACAGCTCTGCCACATTGTCTGATGGCAGACAATGGTGTGGTAGACCTCATTTCACGTTAAGAATCTTTATTTTCTTGTGAAGAATGAAGTGTTGTCCACTGATAATTTGAAAGTTACCAATTTCATATTAATCCTCTTTAGAGAGGAGAGTGGGGTGAAGCATGAGAACCTGCAATTCTTGGTGGGCCTTTGTCCGTGTCACAAAAATAGCCATTGCAGGTAGCACTAATCTGCTTGTGGATGGTCTAGCTCTGGATCCTAGATCTGTAATCTACAGTAGACGACGTTTTAGTTCCTGAGTTATTCTACTGGCTTCAGCAGGGCATAAAATAGGATAATTCTGGTATCACAAGCTTGCCCTAAATAGCCATGAAGATAATTTTCCTTGTATTTCTGTATCTGATTCGTATTTATATGAAAGGCAATTTATGGCTTTCTGAAAAAAAAGGAAGATGAATGTACAAGGTGTCATTTCAGAGCTCCTCCACCTGACACTGTGGGGGCCTGCATGTCCTGCCTGTATGAGAATACAGTTCTTCATGTTTTTAAAGCTCCTGATCAGAGGATTAGTACCAGGGAGCAGAAGGTGAGGAGCTTTCTCTTCAGACAGTTGTAATTATTTAGCTGGGGAAAAGCAGTACAGACCTTACTTTCTGAACCTATTCTGAGAAATGAGAGCTAAGTCTTCAATATTTTACTATTCCGCCACACTAATTATTTTTATGACTATATATTTGAAGTATTTTATAAAAAGAAGGGCACGTGTACAAGTTGAGGCAGTGCATGAATGAAGCAGCCTGGTTGGCTTCACAATATGAAAACATTATCCCAGTCTTGTTTGAGTAAGCACTTCTTTTGAAAGCATGTAGCTGATATCTTCAGATTCATTTGCTTCATTGTAGGCAATTTATATATATTATCAAGGGTGCCATTTAAATAATCATAATAATTACATTATGGTTCTGTAGTTGATGAAGTATGTGCCATCAATGTCAGGTTTATGACAGCACTCTGGACTCTTGCCAGTTCTCCACCCCTTAACAGCCTTCTGCAGTTTTTTAAAGAGGATTATATTATTTTATACAATATGTCATCTGTTGATAAGAATAATATGGACAATACTGGAGTTGCATAGCAACCAGCTTTTCAGTGAGCCTTGCTTGAAGGTGCTCCATTCCTTGATATGTACTTGGTTCTTAATATTTTCAAGTACAGGCAACTGCACATTCAAAAGTTTCAATAATTTCAGTAATTGCATTAATTGCTCTGGTAAGATGAAAAAATAGAAGGCGTGCCTTGGTGATCACATGTGAAATTACCTCAGGGGCTAATTCAAAACATCTGACATGGCTTTACTGAATTATCACTTTGGGTAAGTTATCTCCTCTGGACTTAGACTGAGGGTGTGGCAGGGCTTGACCCGCCCAATTTTGGCCTGCCAAGGAGCACCTGGCTTGGGTGCTGACTGGGTGGTGTGTTTGAGGAGAGGGCAGCCCGTGGATGTGCTGAGTCTGGGGTAGGTGCACTGAAGAAGCTACCAGCCCTTTCCCAACTCCCCACTCTTCTCTTACTACTTCAAACAAATGAGCAGCTCTATCTGACATAGCAGAGGAGCTGGTGTGAAGGCTTGGACCATGCCTGGCTGCTGCATGTTCACCAATGCCATCACTCCTGCTTTTTGACTTCAGTAGTAGGAAGATTGGTTCCACATTTTGGAAACTGTGGATACATTTGAGATTGATACAAATCTATGTTTGAGTAAATTGCTCCTTTTAGATCTATTTTGGTTGTAGTAGGTCTGTAATCCAGCTAGCTCTGGAATACTCAGGGGAATAAGCAAAGCAACCACTATCACCAAGTGCAGAGGAGGTGGCAAGAGATGAACTGAGAATGAATTTAAAACCCTTGACTTGTTGTTATAAAATTTGTTTGGAAACTTTAAAATCCTGAGCACTGCATAAAATCCTCTCATCACCTCTTTGAGGTGGATGAATAAAGATTATTATTTGCGTTTTACAGCTAAAAAAACAAAGATGTTGTGTTATTTTCCAAGGCCACACGGAAGGCCACTGGCAGGCTGGGGATAAGAGCTCATAAATTCCTGGCTCCAACCCCATTCTCTGTCCATCAAGAATGGTGACTTTGTGTGCAGATGAGCTGCCCTTACACAGCAGCAGAGAAAAGCACACACGTTAGCTGGGATGGGTGTAATTAAGACAGTTATTGATGAAAAAAATCAGATTTTTGCAGGAACTGCAGGGGTTTCAATAAATGCAGCTGCCTGAGGATTTATGAGGGTTATTTCTTGGGAGATGTGAATGTGGCACAGCAGGACCTCCCTGAACCCTCCTTTGGAGCAACATGCACAGCTTAAGGCACCCGTATTCAGGACTAGAACAGAGTGGGATAGGCTGAGGGATGCTGTGTCTGCTCTGGACACATCTGGGATGGCACCCAGGAGGGAGAAAAAACCCATGTTACCTATACAGCAGTGCTGGCCCAGAACAAGTGGTTATCCTGTCACTGTGTGTTAACTTGGTCAAATTGAAAAAGGAACCTGACCACCAAGGCAGCCTGGAGAGGGAAGAAAACCCAAGTGGCTCTAAGATGGCAGTTCAGGAAGAAGGTAGTATGGGTGGGTGCCTACAGTCTCAGAGGACAGGGCTGTTCAGCTGAGAAGGGTTTTTCAATTGTGTGTCTGAGATGTTAGCAGAGCTCCTGCTGCCTTCGTGTAGGACATGATTTTACCTTCGATCTTTTCATAAGATGGTGCTCTTTTATCTCTGCCATCTGACCTTTTCATGTCTAAACTTGATGCAAGTAGGGAAGGTGTTGTTAGTTCAGCCAGGATAGAAAGCAGGGATTTGCTCTGAGTCAGGTTCTTCTCTCTGTTTCCCAGAGGGTGGCACAGATGAGACAGCTGAGATGGAAGGACAAGCCAGATTTATCCCTTAGATCTTGTGTTTGTCCTTACATTTTGCTGTTGACCTTGGTTGGAGGGAAAGGGATGAGTGCTTCCTTTACTTTTGCTTGTCCTGGGAAGACTGGCTGAGAGCAGTTATGCCTGGCAATGCAAGGAGGTTCTTAGCTGTACAATGGAGTCACAGAATTGCTGTGCTTGGAAGGGACCTCTGGGCATCATCTAATTCAACCTCCCTGCTCAAAGCAAAGTCACCTAGAGCAGGTTGCCTGGAACCTCGTCCAGCTGGTCTCCTTTGAATATCTCCAAAAAGAGACTCCACAAACTCTCTAGGCAACCTTTCCCAATATATTGGCCACCTTTATGGTAAAACTACAGTAACACTCTTACAGTTTTTTTTTTTCTTGCATTTAAATGGAATTTCTTACATTTCAGTTTGTGCCCATTGCTTCTTGTTCTTTCTTTCCATATCACTTAAAAGACTCTAAAGAAAGTCTGGAAAAGTCATCTTTACTCCCTTCCTGAAATGTATTTGATTACATTGATGAGATACCCCCAAGCCTTCTCTTTTCCAGCTTCTCCTTGTATTAGAAGGTCA